ACCTCCGAGGCTCATTCTCTGTAAGTCCATCGCAAGAATCTGGAACTGTTGTACCTTAATATGAAAAATCCGTCCCAATCATCGTATCATCTAACGTTACCCTGTTAATTTAATGCAATTCGTTTAGTTTTAGTTTTAAACCATGTAAATAGATACAAGGAAATACTTGTAGTAGTTACGTCATATTTAAAAAAAAAAGTCTTAAAAAATATTTATATATTTAAAAAAAAAATCCGTCCTCCACCTCCATGTGGAAAAGCCATACATTTTTTTCCGCAGTTCCTGCACTCTTCTAAATCCGCACTTTTTGCATACAATAAAGAGAAAGACTCTTCGTATACTTTGAAGACTTTCAGGACTTCTGGGTACTTTTTGCATTGATCTTCCCTTCGGTGTAGGAGTTACTTTTGGAGCGCTGAGATCGAGTTTGTTCTTGTTGAGGCTGTTGATTCGGAAAAGAAAAATGTTTATTCTCGATTTGGAGAGGATGCGCCGGGTCCGGCGAAATGTAATTGTGGTCAGATCTCGGGGCCCGGGGGCCGCGGCCTCCCCGTAGGTTCTGGATGGCCTCCTAGAGCGCAGGCAACTCAGCGCCGATCACAGCGGTCAGCTGTAAACTCAGTTTGGTTCTCCGTCCGCGGTTTTGCCATCCCTCTCCCTCTCGAGCACTCCTTCCCAGTCCACGGTCTCTCTCCATCTCTGCCTTCCTTATGAATATATCTCTGCAGAGCCCCACTCTTTCCGCTCTATCTTACTGGGCTAATTGGATTTTCTCATCTTTAACTTATCAATTGTGCCGCCCTGGGCTTTACGCTGATGCCAGCCTGCCATAAAATCGAAAATATTCAATCTTCTTTACAAAAAATAGGGAGCCAGCCTCAGACACGTAGCCAGGATTTTGTTTCGAGGGGAGCTTCGTCGGGTGAGCGAGATTGTCCCTCCCCCTCCCCGACTGAGGGGGTAGTTTGGTGGTATGGAATATTTTTTAGCTCAAAGAAGGGTCCGAGGATTTTTTTTTTGTAATTTTAAGTCTATTTGGACGCATTTTGAAAGTTTAAAATTCCTCTTTTCTCGCCTTTCCTTGTTTTCTATCTCTGCTTTTCTTCATTATCTTTTTTTGCTTTCGGGGAGGGGGAGGGGCTTGAGCCCTCCAACCCCCCCCCCCTCACATGCCTGGCCAGCTTTTCGGGTAGGGACTGATGAATCTCCCAGTTATAATAGTAAATAATTTAGTGAAAAGTATAATATTAAGTATACCCTATTATTATAGTAATCAGCACACAGAGTGAAAAAAATGATGTCACTGATGATGCCCGGCCTGACCAGACGAAACGCGTCCGGGAGTTCTATTAATTGACGCGCACTTAGGTGGTTTTTTATAAAAAACTTTTGAAAAAAATTGCGCGTGCCCTTAATTGAGATCCGTCGTCGTTTCAGCATGTTTCTGTAATGATTGTTTTTTTCGCCCTCCCACCCCCCAAGAAAATAAGTAACACTACGAAATAAAGTAAAATAAACAAAGTCGAGGGGAGGCATATCGACATAAATAGGATAGATTCTAACTGAAGTAGAAGGTTAACCCTCGAGTACCAGTGCCAGACTTTCATTATACGTGACAAAATTGTGAGGAAAAACTTCTGAAAGTATGCGGCCATACATCCAGATCGTTTAACGAGACTGATGGTGTAATTTTTTTGCGACATGCAGAACAACATATCTAAAAGTAGAAAAATTCCAGCTATTCTTATACGTGTCAGTTTTCCTAAAAAACTATTGCGCCCAAGACTATATCTCCGTATATTTTGCATTAAGAATGATTTCATGATTTTCCAACAAATCCATCTCGCTCATACTGAGCTATTCATGACTTATTGTTAGTAGAACTTATATTATTCGGCTCGTAAACTTGACATCATTGGAAACAGCGCGGCACTGCTGAGACAATGTAAATTCAAACACCACCGTCGAGATCATAACCCGCGGAGCTAATCATAGTTAGTCACCATTCACCAACTCAGCGTCAACCGGTGCCGATCCATGCGCGTATTTCTTCTTCGTTATTTGATCGTCTGTTTATCCGTCATCTTCCCGAGTTCCCGCTCATTCATTTCCATTCATTCCCTCGTCCGGCCACTCTCTCATACACTCGCGCCGCCGCTAAGTTCATTTTCCATTTTTAGCGCCATAATAAAACACTCAAACTCTCTTTTATTTACATAAGATGAACTTCAAACGCGCCCATTCGGCAAAAATTACAATATCTATTACCGGAGGCACGAATGCACCTATAGTCAATACGAATGAACAAACGTGGGACAAAATAGGGGGGGGGGGGGGGGTCCCCACCGTCCCTTCAAACTTGCATCAAAAAATCTTGCGATTTCATGTAGACGTGTTGGACAACCTGTGAACCTCTTTCGAGGGAAAATATCTACTACACTAAATTTATATTATATTTTTCTCTCTTTAAAATGTGTGTATTTAAACCCAAAAAACCTTGCAAAAGTCGAAATTATATAAAAAATGAATCAAAATCTTGAATTTGTACGTAGCTAAAGGATGTAAGTGTGAAAGATTTTTCCACCGAGCGACAAGCAGCTGGTAACGACGGAAACAAGTTTGCTCTACAAACCACAATGCTTTTAGATCAGACAGAACCCCCTCCTCACCTTCCTGGACCTCTATTTTTATTTATCAATACAGATTCATTCACCTTTTCATTTTCCTCCTCGCCAAGCTGATGAGCACTATGCAGGAGTGGCGTGGCGTACTTTGCGATATATCGATTAATCTGCCATGTAAACCTTTCGAAAAGGATAGATAGACAGAGTTTTCGTAACGACCACCATAATAATCGATTTTTTACCATAGGTTTAAACGGGGAGATATCGATAATCGAATCGATCATTCACGTCTCGCCATTGCTGCTCAGCCGATTTTCAACCGAGAGCTGCGGTTGGCGCGCAGCAGCGACTTACTGAGAAGCCTACGCCACAAGATAATTTACCATTCCACACAAGAGAAAAATATAAACGTTTTCAAATTACTGCAGATGATTTAAACCTAATCAAAAGTCCTTGGTGATTAATTAGACACTGAGACGTCCCTTTGAATTCAGACGCATGAATAAAACTTAAAAGCATAAAATCTTAAAGTTAGCTCTCATTGAAGAATTTTGCTAATATACATACTCCACGATTCCTAACGCTGCTTTTTCGAACTGCCTACCGCTTCCTCTTACGTATAGAAAATTGGAATTGAATTAAAAAACATCCTCGTTATGAACCAGACCCGCCTACTCGGCTCTGGTTTAAAATAAGTAAGTTTTTTTTATTTCATTTGTAATGTTCTGCATGTTTTTGCCCTGTTCTTAATGCAAATATGTTTAACTGCCTCCTCTTTGTTCTTTTTCTTCCTTTTTTCTTTCATTTTTATTAGAGCCACATGTCCGAAGGAACTGAAAATGAGAGGAAAAGCGAAGGATGTTGGTCTCAAATCCCAATATATATTCACATTGCTGAATCGATTTACCTCGATATTTAAGCTTGGACGGCCATTTTCTGAAGAAAGTGCCTATCGATTCTGCGGGATGGACGCAGCCTTTTCCGGGATAAAATTTCGAGCACGCATCAGCATAGATAATCTGTGCAGTGTCTGCAAACTGCACATGAGCAATAGAGGGAAAGGGAGTAATTGCAACGAGAGGCATGTCATAATAGTGCTCAGTGCGGGTAATTATGAGAATCTAATTACCTTGCCCGTAATGCAATTAGTATCGCAAATGTGGATCCGTCTTGATTTGCGCTGTTGCCCTGATCCGCAAGTATAAAAATACTCATGAACAGTTTTATGAAGATAGTTTGCAAGCACCCCGCAGAACACTTTGTTAGAAATACTCACCAACTATTTTAATGTAATTCTTTGTTATGATACTATTGTACCACGATGTATAGTAAATGATGTGGGTCGTATTCTATCCGATATTAGCAAAGAAAAAATATTCGCAATTCACTTCATATCTTTTGGATTACTTTACACTGAAGAACAGTTTATTATATGCCGTATACGCATTTTATAAGAATACTATGAAATCAAATTGGAATCGGTTGAATACAATATAGGTATAACTTGAAACTTGTATATTTAGCCATATCTAATCTGAGAACGAAATAAAACATAATTTTTCTACTCCAAACATATATAATGCATACATATGAGAATCAGCTAAAAAAGATTAAGAAACTAAGTTGAGTCACCATCTACAACTTGCCATAATTGGTACAGTAAAAAAAAAAAAAAAAAAAAAAAAAAAAAAAAAAAAAAAAAAAAATTAAATGGTGAAAAATAAGCTTATTTTCGGCTATTCAAAAGCAGAAACGCGTTTCAATCACCTCTATTAAGCAACGATGGTGTTAAACGGACTTGGACGATGGATCAAACATTATGACTAGTTGGAACTCAAATTGAACTCGATTCATCTTACATGTTTTCGGGCGCATGTCAAATTCGGGCCGAATTTCGAGGAGCCCTCCGGGATGCGGTGGAAATCGAAGGCGGCTCCAAATACAGAGCGGGCCTCGGCACGGCTCAAAGCACACGTTGTGAATCGACGCCTCTATTTACCGCACAATGGCAGCTCGTTGGAAGGTGCAAGGTGATAAGTGGCTCCAAATATTTCCTCATTCTCTTATGCTTACAAAAACGGAGTTTAACGATGCATGCGTCGAAGTAGTCTTTCTCTTTCTTTTTATTAATATTTTCTACCGCTCTCCTTACTCTTGTACAGGAAGCTGATCAAAAGAGAGAAGGAACTTGGAGGAGGGGTCGTGTGTGCGTACTTAAGAAGCAATACTGTCGTACTAATCGTTGAGAAAATGGGCCATTTTCTGAAAGAATCAGCTAACTTTGAGCGGATATGTGTGATTCTTCCTTCTCTCAGACTTTGATGACATTGAGTGCATAAACTAGGCAATTTAATAAAGGTTAAAATACAAACTTACTTGAATCCTTGCTTCGGTGAGACCAATTTTCATAGCTAGCTCCTCCCTGTGACAAGAAAAGGGAACTGTATCAAGTATTATACATTGAATGTAAGGTGACAGTGAACCCAAAAGACGGATTCAATTTTGCAAAGAAGGATGCGCGTGACCTATTGATGTACTTATTAACAGGTGCTTATTAACTTTCTTAATGTGCTTTGAACTTAATGATTCCCTTAAAGGTGGCTCTTCAGCTTTTTAGAGAGCGATTGGACAGTCTATCGATCTAGTTTTTTGGATTTTAAGGTATCTCTTAAGGCTTTTCAAGCACCACAAATTACGTCGTAGCACGATAGGTATTTATACACACGAAATTTGACAGAGAAACAGTTTGAAATAGCTTTAAAAGCACGTCCTCACTACGTATCGCAAATCAAAAGTCGAAACTATTTGCAATATCCACTCGAAACAATTTCTGTTGTCTCGAGACTAGAAAATTTCCTTATCTTTGACAAAAAATTTTCACCTTAGTGAAGGCACGGTTTTTTAAGAAAGAAATATGGCATTCGATACTGGTATCGGAACTGCACTCGAATTCGATATTTTCCCTCTAAAACAACCCTGCCTTTATTACGTTGAATTTGTACGTCAAAGTCGGTAAGTGAATACTATAGTCTCGTGACAACAGAAATGCGATTATAAAATTCGATAAAAATGACGAGTAGCTGAAAACAAGGAACAAATCGATGCGATACATCGCATGTCATTTTGACATAAAATATTGCGCCCTTTGAATCATTTTAACTTAGATTTTCAGATTTTGAATAAAGAATTTGCAGGTGTCTGAAATTTGATGAATTTCGTGTTTAAGTGAAAACCACTGAGTGAACTGAACACGAGAATACCGTTGGTTCATGAATTGAACAATTATTGGAGAAGATATGACAGAATGATCTAATCTGCTAAAATACATGTGTTATGTGTTTAAATGGGGAATGCCGCCAGATGACGACACTAGGCGGTGCATTTTCTCACTTTTAAATTTATTTTCATACCATTTTCCATACCTGAAAAAAATTATAAAAAAAAACTGTGAAATCAGCTCTTTAAGCACTTTCAGATGAAGCAATAACACATTTGCATGCAAATTCTCCATTCGAATATTCACTTCTTGAAGGAGCCTATCTTTAGCTTTGCGGTGCCGCGGTGCGTTTCGGTACTTGTGGAGCATGCTGTAGGCAGTTAGATTTTCGGTACATTTTGGCGTGAGTGCGCGTTGATAGCTGCGCGTCGTGGGTTATACATATCATGAGCGACGGCTAATGAGGCTTGTATAGTTCACATATCATTACACACACACACACGGTGCGAGCGCGGGCGCGGGCGCAGGCCCAGGGTAGGCGCAGTACTGAACAAAGCAGTAGATTTCTCTTCTCCATCGCAGACTAATTGTCCAGCTTCATTAGATCTCTGATTGATTATTATCAATTACGACTCCGAGCCGGTATCGCGGACCGTAAGGAGGACTNGGGGGGGGGGGGGGGGAGGAGCGCTTCGTGATTGGATTATTATCGGGGCGCAGCGCGCAGCGATATTAAACTTGGGGTCCACGCCGATGCTCAGATTGACGCATGCTCCATTATTGGCTGGTGGGCTTGATTACTTGCCAATTCCAAGGTCTCTCCTCGGTTGGAACTTAATATTCCGACGTGAGGTTTCACATTTCTAGGGCCGAGTCTATCACCTACTCAAATTTCCCTGATACGTAACAAGGGATCGTGCGTTTATCCCATTGACGGAACAGAATTCCATCTATCACCATTTTTTCAGTCAATACTTAACTTCCGGTTAAATTCATAGCATGTTTAAAGGCCTGGAGCATGGATGTAACAATTCCTTTTCTCATTCAGCTGTACTTCTCAAGTGTAGCAGTCCCGATTTGTTACTTATGTTCCTGACAAGCCTAAGATTTTAGCGCGAGTTGAAGGAATTTTCTCAGAAAGAAATATGAAGAAATATAAAAAAGTTATGTCTATATCCTGAACCATGCAAGTTGCTCTGAATTTCGAGAAATCTGAAATTAATTATAGGAAAATATGCATGCTTCTCATTGGTCTTTAGAAGATTGCATGTCCCTACATATCCGCACTGCATTCTTTCATTCCCTTTCACTCTTTAACTTGCCGAAGGGGGGGGGGGGTTAATATTTACTGATTGAGTTAGTAAGAATTGGACAACATTTTGCAGTAAAGAGGTACTATTTTTGGCTCTTTATAGAGCCGTTCCATCAATGTCTCTAAGCAGATTAGTGATTTTATGTTTGGTCCAAAAATAGTACTTCCTTATTGCGAAATGTACGAGTAATCCGTTTTACCCCTACGATGGCTCTGATATTATATAACGGCCCAAAGTGAAATGTATCGCATGGATAAAATTTGTGTTGTACTTCCGTACATAGGTTTGCCATAGATTTGGCATGTTGGAGGAATCTGTCTCGTTATTTATGGTTGCAATATCAAGCGGCGGTGTTTTCCCGTTAAACTTGAAACGTGGAAAACGAATGTTCCCCTTCAGTTCACCGAATCCATCATCAAATCAAATTGGAGAAAACAAACTAATGAACCGTAGATGGATGAAAAACGAACAGAAGTAGAGAAGTGTTATAAAGTCATAGATAAAAACGACCACCTCCATCTTCTATGTTATCGATAGCTAGATTTGATGTTTGGTTTGTTTGTCACGTATTTGATTTAATTTCGTACTCAGTGTATTTTATATGCTTAAAATGTTTAGTGTGTGTAGTATTTGGTAGGTTTTCTTGACTTGTCTCTTGTATTTTTTCTTTTAGTCGCAAACATTTAGATTTTTTCGGAAAATTGATTTACTATGGTTACATTCAGCAATCAAGATATTTGGCGCAAATCAACTATACCTGCTATTGGGGAATGTTCATTTTCATCTTTTTTCGTGCAGGGCAAAGAAATAGCATTAATGGTAAGATAACTTTGCACGGTGATGACTGCTTTTTGGGATTTATAATAAGCACAAATAAGATTCGCGGAAAATCTAAATTCACCATAACATTTAAGGAAAAGTCGGTTTGCCCCTATAATTTTTCTCGCGGATTTGTTGCTTTAACTTGTTTGAAATTACAGTTTTGAAGCTTGCCGCGACCGAATGAAAATGAAATGCAGAAAAAACCAATTTTGTAAGAAAGAGAGAGAAAAAAAAAAAAAAACAAACGGGAAAGCTCTAATACGTTCGTGTTAAAGAATCGCTTAGCTGTTTTCTGTGCAGGGACGTTTTTAAGTTCCCCGAAGAAACTGAGCACCGTTGAGATGAAAAAACTTGCTCACCAAAATGTCAACTATCAATTTTGAGAAAATCACATTACCGCATCCCCACCTGTTACAGGCAGGTTGAAACCAAAAATCGCTCTCTCTTGGCTGAGCGCTTAAAATTTCTGCCTTCGGATTGGCAGTTAACACAAAGGTATGCTTATTGATTCTTGTGGAGACACATGAGCACTGATGGGTGACAAGCAAAATCGTTGCCTCTAACCCCCCCCCCCCAAAAAAAAAAAAAAAAAACAAGAAAAAGGAAAACCCCGCTTTCCGCGAAGCAACGAGGATAATCTTTCCTTGAAACGTACATTTTATGAAAGGTCAAAATGTTGTGTCGCGTTATATTGATCAAAAATACAGTAAATTCAGCAAACAATACTTTAAGTGTATTGGAGTACCTCTATCTTACTTTCCTTTTCGCTCGTTTAGGTCTCCGAACGTGAGCCGATACGCAAGAAGCGAATTGACAATAGGCGTGGAAATGCATTTAAGCATGCGCTCGTAAAACACGCCTCAAAATGAAATTTCAATTAAAAGCCTGAAATTTTCAATCAACGAGGTGCTCAGTAGCTCTGTTCTTCTTCGCATTTTGGATTCAAGCCAGAAAAGATAGGGGTTGCCAAAACATTTCGAAGTGTCGTACTAAGTCTCCACATGTGCACCACTGCAATATATCTCATACCTCGGTGCGCTCTGCGATTATGCATTATGACAGCTCTGCAAGGGAATAAACCTGAAATGACTTCATTATCGATTGGAGACAATATGAGACTTATTCTTTCAACCGCGGCTGCAAAAATGTACGTTCGATATGCCGATTTTACCGGGTTCAGAATATAAACTTTTTGAATACTTAAAGAAGGATGGCAATATCGATTTTTACAGTCACGAGTTGATTTTTTTTGCCTCAGATTGCGTGTTCAGGTTTGAAATTCGATTTTCAGCTCCGGTGAAGAGCAAATAAGGATCGGTGTAAAACCGATTAGCTGAGTTTTTTTTTTATGACTGGAATCTTTATGGCCTCATTTCGGTCGACCGATACACAAAGTTGAGAAATTTTGTTGCCTGCTGTGCGTAGGAGGGAAATTGTAAGCCAGCAAAAATCGAGTGCATTCCGGTGGCTAAAATCAAGGGCGTGGAGTGCTCTGCAATATATCGATTGATCCGCCATTCAGACATATGGAAAATAATCGATAAACAGGGTGTTCGCAACAAGCACCTTAAATCGATTCTTTACCATAGCTTCGAATGGGGAGATTTCGATAATCGATCATTCACGCCTCACCACTGGCTGAAATTCTACACGTGAAGGTAGTAAAAGAGAGAGGGAACGATTCCACCTCATCATTCTCTTTGAGCACAAATTATTCCCAATCTTCCAATACCTCAAATTAACCAAGCTCACTTCTAATTAAATGAGAGACAATATCAAAACCTGGTAAAATTAATACCTAAACTTAGGATGTCCAAAAAATCAAAATAAATAGATGCTGAAACAGAACAGGATCAGCTCCCTTCAATGGCAGGTCTGACAAATTCTGAAAGAATCTGCTAAAAATAATTCATGTAAAGCATAATATGAATCCATGACCCACGATTGAATGCTCATTACAATGAAATTGTCTTTGATCTAGGTCTGACATCGGTGGAGGATGCACCGTAAAAGTGTATTCCCTTCAGAGGGTACATTGAAAAGTGCACTGGGAAAAAAACACATTGGATCTAGAGTCCAGACTCTTGAAAACATTGACAAGAAAAAGGACTCTTGATTCAATCAGATTTAAGTTTAAATCAGAAGGAAATCCGGTTAAATTAAGAGGCTTGGTTCTTGATTTAAGCTTAAATCTGATTGAATCAATAGTATTTTTTCTTGTCGATGTTTTTTAGAGTCTGGACTCAAGATCCAATGTGTTTTTTTTCCAGTGATTGAATTTAGCCTCATAGTTCACGACAATTGAATGGCATTTGTTCTGCTCAGAGTGTACCTCGTTCAAGCCAAAGTTGCGAGCACGAGAATTTCAAAGTCTGCGATTTTTTCTCGCAAGAGGGTAGATACTTTTTATACTTGATTCAATCCACCATTTAAAACTCGTTTTTAAGGTCAATCACTGCGTCTCGGTGTCCGTGCATGAGCAAGAATTAAGGCCTTACGGCAGCGCAGCGTCGCGCCACCGCGGCCAGGCCGCCGCCGTCGTGTCGCCACGAACGCGACTAATGGTAATGAAAGTCTCAGTGCCGAAAATGCGACAAATGATAGCCCTCTGGATCCTCATTTATTTAATTTCGGTCTCGAGAGAGTATTACAAATGACAAAAAAAAATGACACCCTGACGTCACCCTTCCAGAATGTCGGTCGCTCTACAGGATTGCCGGATTACACATTGCTTGGTGAGATGTCTTTGAAGGGAAGGAAGTCAAATCCTTTCAGGGGAAAAAATGAGTTTGTCCAACGCGCAATTGGGTGACCTATATGGGAAGAGTCCGGACATGTCGGTAATTTTGTATGAACTCAAATTGCACACAATGATTCATTATTACAATCGTTACGACAAAGCACGCATTTGACTTAGTTTTTGCATTCATTTACTCATCTTTGCGGATGCGTGCTCATATATGAACACTCTAGGCGATTTTGTTTTCTCATTGGACTCGAGGATTAGCCTTTTCCCTTGAGTTTTTCGTATTAGAAAGGTTGGCTCCCATTTTGGGCCCTAAGAACTCCATATTTTGACATGTCAGTACTCTGCCATGCTAAGGTAGAACGCCGTATGAACCTTCCGGCGTTGCCAAGTTTCCTTCGATAAGAATCGAAATTACTGGGAAATTTGTGAATATTTTGTTCCAAAGTTTTCAGACAGTTTCGTACGCAGTTTAATCTAAAATATCCGAAAATTTCAAAGAAAAGTGTGCACGAATGGCGTAAAAAATACATATTTTATCGAGGGAAATCTGAAAACTCTCGAATGTTCATACGGCGTTCTTCCTTAGCACGACAGTATTCTCCCCATGCAGGTATACCCTACATACAACGGGCGACCACTATCATTCACTCCGCGTATACACTTTTCAAATACTGCCTTTAAACATATTGGATATTAATTGAGTGTTCATCTAAAACTTCAAAAGGAGGTACCATAAGTTATAAGGAAATATTGTAAGAATGTTAGTTAAATTCTTTGTTCTAACTGGTGACCTGGTAGGTAACACAGTAGTTTGATGAAATGCGTTAATATATCCTTTACTTCTTAACTATTCACAAAGTGAGAAAATATTTTGTATTTTACCTGGTGAAAACGTCGGGGTAGTGAGTTCTGGAGAAAGCTTTTTCAAGCTCCTCCAACTGGAAACTGGTAAAAGTAGTCCTATAGCGACGTTGCTTCCTCTTCGGCGCAGAATTGAAGTCTTCCAACTCGGCATCACTGCAGCAGTCGTCTTCGCGACTCAAAACAACCATCCTATTACTCTCTACGTCTGGGTCACCGTGCGACAGATCTGAAAAGAAAAGAAAAAATTCAATCGTGCAATTTTTTCATCATCACAAGAATCAACAAAATAGACTGCGCAGACTTCAGTAAGTGGCAAACGCTGTGAAAGAACCATCCGTGCTCTCAGAGAGAAATCTCCTAATAAAGCTCATTACTTTCTCCATGGGAGATTACATTAATATAACTGTCGATGAAAATAAAAGTCCTTATTTTTAATAATATATTTTCGCTTTCTATTTCTGATATTGCTCAACATTGGGAAATATATATATTGAATTCAAAATTGCCCGAGATTATATAAGTGATGATGAATTAAAAATCTGGAGAAAGAAGACAATTTTGAACCCCCCCCCTTCCACATAAAAAAGAAAAACACGAAATGTTTTGCCAGAAATTGCTGGCGATACGTTTTTGCCAAAATGGCCTCGTTACCCCAAATTTCAAACGTATCCCTGCCTAATAGAATGTACAAACAGCTTTCATAAGTTTGTTAAGACGACATCTGGATTTGAAAAAAATTTCACGTCCCCCTACTTCTCCTTACTGCGTGATACCAGCCACCAAATCATTCTAAATCTCTTTTTTGCACCAGCAAGATGATAAAATCAAATAATTAGAATTCTTAATTTAAAGGTCCAATTATTACCCCATGTTGATAAAAACAATCTCATCCACTCCGGTAGCTGAAGTGTCTTTTTCGTTTGCGTCATAAACTCTGGGTCCTTGACCCTCAAAACCTTAAGGGATCTTCCCCGAGCAGAAGCTTTAATTCACGCAAGTACGTCAAACAATAGGCACGGGCCCCACCGGTAATTCAATAAACACTTTCGCCAGGATGGTCGGGTGCGAGGAAGCAAGGGTCAAGCAAACAACAGCCAAAGAAAGGTTGAGACGATTAATATAACAATAATAAAAGGAGATAATTGCCTGACGCCAGAGATATGAGAGCCATTAATTTAATGCTATGATGCGGGGGAGCTTAGGTATGAGTCCTAGTTGCAGCCTTTTCCATTCGCGCTTCATTGCCAGATTTTGTCGTGGGCTTCATTTCTTTTCTGTTCATTGCGAAGGAAATTAGAGGATTTTTATGCAATCATTGTAAACGTTGCACTTATGAGAGGCCGCGATGCAGCGTGGAGTGCGACCAAGGATAGGGTTGATTCTTCCACCCTCTGATGCAAAAATAATTGGCAATACGAGTGTGTTTCATGTACCTTACAGCACACACGCATTCTCTAAGGCTGCGCTGATTCACGCGACAGAGGACAGCTCCAGTGAAATGTCCAAGAGTAGCCCCACGAATTGTGTCGCCACACAATAGCATTTTTTGCCATTAATTTTTTCAAACATAAATAAATTGTAGTGAGTGAAAGATTCAATAATCGAGGCAACTCTTTGTTCGGCAGCCTCTAATAATTTAAAGAGGTATAGTCTCGCGGTTAACACTCTTACTTTTCTTACCTTTCGTTCAAGTCTCCGATTCTCGCAGCGTTGATAGAGAGGGTTATTTCCCGTCGGTGAAAGTTTTGGGAGTGTGTAAACATGAACATATAGACGTATTTATGCTAAAGGGAACTATGTGCACAGGGATTGCGTGTGACATAGTTCCTTTTAGCATAAATACGTCCGTATGAAAGTTATTGTGTTAAACCGATACTCGTAGGCTAAAATCGAGCATAACGTCCTTTTCAACTTTATTTGCGTTTTCATTTTGAAATCCTGTGCAGGATTTCATGGATAAAATAAAGTAAAATAAAATAAAAAGAATGTCTACCAAGAGCAGTTCTACCGTTCGGAAAATTTTGAAGTTGTCATTTTACACTGACAGAGAAAGTTAAATTGATATCGTTTCTGTTCCCCTTTTCCCCATTTTTGAAATTTGTTTAAAAATAGATATTTAAATATCTTTTGACATTTGAAAAGATTACAAATATAGGTTATTTTAAAACAAAAAAGTGAAATATGCTTATTTTTTTAATTTTTGGGACCTAATATAAGAAAGACATTTTATCAAAATTTCACAGAGGGTTCTCTAGAATTGAAAATTCTCGAGTTTTCGAATAATTTCTTAAAAATGTTTTCCGTCGAGATTAAAATGAAACGGTTTCAGCACAAACTTGCTTTACGATGTACAACAAAGAATGAAACGATAGAATGAAACGACGAAACAGCTCCTACTTCGAGAAGCTTTTCATAGTATCAATGAGCTGCTTCTAAAAGAATACACTTCATGCTAATTTGTTATTATTGTAATATTTTCATTTGTTATTGGCCTGTATAATGGCTGTAAATGCAGTTTTTATGTACGAGAATTTTAAAATAAAATAAAATAAGAATGAGCCCTTGAAAGTTGGGATGATGACATTACGGAAAACAAGTGAATGAAAAGTATGCGAGGATGATAAAAATATGAAAAATGATTGAGTGAGTGAGCGCGGCAACGCGGGTGGACCGAGAGTGGCCAGTTGAGGCGCGTGAATGCTTACAGTGAAATGCTTTTAAATGCTGCGCGGGCAACCCGGGGCCGGAGGGGCCCAGGACCCAGGGCGCATTAGAGTGTCTCCAACTATTAATGGGCCTTTATCACCAGACGGGGCCCAGACGCCAGGCGTTCTCTCCGTCAAATCTCAGCAACGCCCATCAAATTCTCCGCCCGTCAAAAGCGTGGACACCGGCTCGACGCACTCTCCGCGTCACAATTATTAATCACATCGGCAGCCAAATCGCGGATTGCATCAGAGACAGTTTTAGGCCGTACCCATTGGAAAAAACCAACAGACTCAAATATTTTCCAATGTGACTGATTGTTAGAGGCATATATCACACATTTTGGAGGGATGGAGCTATTCCTTGATTGAGAATTTGCTGGTATTTGCAATTTGATTAATTTCGTGTCTAAGTGGAAACTACTGAGTGAACTGAACACGAGGATACCCTTGGTTTATGAATTGAACAATTATTGAAGAAGATATGACAAAATGATCTAATCGGCTAAAATACGTGTGCTTAAATGGGAAGTGCCGCCAGATGACGTCACTAGGCGGTGCATTTTCTCACTTTTAAATCTATTTTTATACTATTTCTCATAACAGAAAAAAATCACAAAAATACTGCGAAATCAGCTCTTTAAGCACTTTTAAATGAAGCAACAAAAAATTTACATGCAAATTCTCCATTATAAGATTTGCGCACCGCCACTGAATCGATCTGACGTAGGATTTTGCACTGTTAAAAATTTTGAGCACGTGTGTTTTCGCTGTGTGTTTATTTCGGTTATTTGATCGAAGGAAATGTTGTGCTCTCGTTTTCCCCGGATGGATAAACGGAATACAATCGTTGCAATCCAATAACACACCCGTGTATTACCCGAGGAATGTCTTCGGGGTGGGCGAGGGGCTGGAATGCCATGTTGTATTTCGTTTACCCACCCGCAGATGTTGTTCCTTTGTCGCGCTGTTCCTAGTGTTCCTCCGGACAAATAATCGAAGTAAACCTACCGCTGTTTTCAGATAGTTTTAACAGTGTAAGAGATACTTTTTTGCTACTACAGTTAGGTCATTGTTTTCAAGAAAAAATGATTCAAATGTTGTTGACGCTCATTATAGACTTCAAATAAGCGATGGCACGACTCGAATGCTCCGATTGTGAGCGCGTATGTATAAAATAAAATAATATGTGCTCTTCCCGATGTCGGTAAAACACGCGAGAGAGAAAAATATAACTTGATTCGAAAGGAAGAATCCTGAATTTGCCATTATGAAGATTTCTTCTTCAATCAAGAATAAAATGTATTGATTCACATAGGTGTCTGCTTGATGTGAGCATTGTTTCTTCTCTTTATGCGAAATTTTTTTTCTGCAAAAATTCGTTTTGGCGGCAAATTCGAGAATTTTGCTACCTATTCCATCGATTCACTTTTTTCCAATGCAGGCAAATTTCGGGGGAAGGTGAAGAGCTTTCTGAGAAATTTCAAGACTCCTGGCGTAACGACACTATAATGCTGCCGTGCAACGCAAAAACACCGTAAATGCCATTTTGCATTTCTTGGAAACAATGTATCATAGCAGAAAAACTTGTTCACCTTGGGACAATGTTTTTACAGAATTGTTTCGCAAATACTATCAAAAACTTAAGTTTTAATTTTATAATGTGTACCAAAAAACAAAGGAAAATCTTGATGGATTTACGGCGTTCTTACTTAGCACGGTAGAATGATATACCCTATTTTCCTCATTACTCACTTTTACCTTTACCTCATATTCCCCAACTCGAGAAAATTTCATTTTTACCAGGGAAGAATTATAATTTTACAAGAGACAAGTAAGCAAAGGCTAGGCTAGGATTCCCGCCAGTCACGCGATGTATCGATGATCGTTCACGGATTGATGTCAAAACAGGGCACTTGAAAGAATCTTAAAATTTTTCGGCGCTCTCGTTTTTCCGACATTATGAGGAGGAGCACAAATGTCCGGTATCGATGAGAAAGGCGCCGACGCCGGGTGATTCTGCGAAGCGGGGTGGGGGGTGGGGGGAACACGCGTTAATTAATTGAAAGCGTCGTGATAATTTCGCGAATGATTACACGCGTTACTCGATCCGCCGCGACCGCGCGCCGTCGCTGTCTCCGTCCATTACTCGACCGTGTTGCCGTTTCGGCTCTCGAATTCCAGAGAAGAACATCCAAAACCCAATCATGAAAACCCTCACATAAAAAAATACGCACTCGTACGCGGAGAAAAAAACTTCGTGCATGGGACCCGAAGTTGAGGTCATATGGGTCTCTGAAGTTTTTGGATCACGCATCCGAAAACTTGAGGTCGAACTGCCGAAGTTCGGGTCAGACTTTTGAAGTGCTTTGGTGTATACCGAAGGGTTCACGTCACACATCTGAAGTACTCCGGTACATACCGAGAGCTTCAGATGTCTGACCCGAAATTCCGCAGTTGGACCTCAAGTTTTCAGATGCGTGATCTGAAAACTTCAAAGATCCATATGACCTCAACTTCG